AAAATTATTCTGAAATATAAAAAAGAGTGATTTTTTAAAATTAATAAAATTAAATTTTATAAAAAGATTATTAAAAAGTTTAGATTTATAAAAGGATTAAATATATAAAAAATTTAGATTAAATTATAAAAAGTTTAGATTTATATATATATGGAAAGAAAAGTTAAAAAAATTGGAAAATGTCCGTAAAAAAAAGCCTGTGTTGTTCTAGTATAATAAATTATATATATTATGAGGTTTGCGACTAAAATTGCATCACACTGTGTATTTGTTCCACTTCATACTTCCGCCAATAAGGAAACCTTCATTCTTCAAAATCAGTTGTATATGTGTGGTGAGGGAAGCTTCGAAAACAAATCTATCAAATGCTTGAGTAGAACAATTTTTCTAGTGTACGATTTGAATCTTATCTCCCAAGATTTCTCTTTTCGATGCTTATTTCAGCTTAGCCTTCCTTTTTATCATTTTTTCGCGCCTAACTATACGGTTTCTTTTGGGGTCATCTTCGATCGAGTACCTCAGCTCTTAAATTCGTTTCACAACGATACTGACAAAAACGCCGTCACGTAGAAGAGACCTACTACCATCGCCGTTATCGGCGAACACATAGATATTCGATAGATCGGATATTATACGGATCCTCGTTATCGGCCCTTTTCTAAGCGCGCATCCTACGCTCCGCAAATCAAACGATGCCGATCTTCCGACATATTTCAGCTTTTTATCGTCTTGTTACCGCACAGGGACGTGTAAAAGAAAATTTTTCTTTCATCATTGTATCTCTTACGCTTCTGAAAAGAAATTTGATAATAGTTATGAAGATTATAGAAATATTAAATATTGAAAAAATATTTATGCACGTATTATTTTTGATATAAAACATACAATTGTTGTTAGAACAATATTGCATAAATAAGTTATAATGTTAATTTTTTATACAGAATAACGCAGATATTTAAATACAATATGTGAATCTAAATGCGATATATATATATATATATATACGATGCATAGTGGCATTTACATTCTTTATGATATCATTAAAATTAAATTACCAAATAATTATCAATCCGTCATTTGGCAATCAATAGAAGAAGAAATTTACGTAGGAAATGATAATGGACGTACAATTTACATTTCGCCAAAATCACCGGCTAAACCTTCAATATTTGTGGCCATTTAACATGAATAATCGATACCTAAAGTGTGAAATCTTGTATGCCGTATTTTTTATATTCCACAGACGATTCAATTATTATTCTTGAGCGACGTTCTTCATGAATAAAATAATACGCAAGATCCGTAATACTTTTTATGCCAATTTAAACACGTGCCACCAATTACGTGTATATTTAATAATTATCTTCAATAAATCGATCAATGTCGCGAATGAAGCAATTCGTACGAACAATGCATCTATTTTATCAATAGCAATAGAAAATCCGTGCGCTAGTCCCGGCATAATCAATTGGATATCTCATTTGATCTCTTTTTTTTCCTATCCTTTCTTCAAAGCCTGGTGCGAAAATGTTGCATAATGAAAAGCGCGTAAAATAAAGCATTGCAAAGGAAATCCATGGAGCGTCTGCACTCGCAGCTAAACGCGCTCCAATTACATCCGACAGAAGTCTCGATTAATTCGATATTTCCCGTCGTTATTGTAAACGCAACTGTGCCGATCCGTATTTCGTAATTACAATTCGATCTTTTCTTTTATCCGATGCTCAAGTTTCCAAGGATTTCATTACTGTCAAAATGTTGCGAGAGCTTTTCATCGTTGATAATTTGTTGCCATAATCACTCAAAAAAGTGGTATTACAACTACAGCAAAAATTTTCTGGGAGCGCAAAACACACACACACACACACACTCGCGTACGTCTCACACTTGCGGACCGACTGCCGGCGACTGACTGAATCGCCGGCAGTGCGTGTCACTCGTTTTAAGAACCGCCGCCGTTGTCGCGTTGCGTTGCAAGCCGTTGACTTCTAGTCGCGCTATCGTCCACGTCGACGTCGTTGTGACGTCGTCGTCGTCGTCTTCGTCGCCGCCACCGCCGCCGCCGCCTTCGATCAACGGGCAGGAGCAGCAGCGGGAGGTAAAGGGGGCGATCGTCAAGTCATGTGGCCGCGGCGGGGATGAGGAAAACGACGAGACGATGATAACGTCGCGACCCGGAGCAGAGATATCCGCCGTCGCGCACGGTCACTGCGATGACGATCACGGACGACCTTCCCGATTATCGGATATCCACGCCACGCGGACATCCAACGTGACCTTGTTCAGCGTCGACTGCGCGTTGTAATTCACGCGCGGCCGCTTCAAGGTGTGCCGTAGAGACTTATCATCGCCTTCTCTCGCAAGATGTTTTGATATCACTCACTTGGTCCAAGCTAGCAGATCTCAGGTTGCTCTTTCTGATTCTTCCGCTTGATAAGCCCTCGCAAAAATCGTGTTTCGATTTTTGTCCGATGACTTTCATAGTCCCATCTGTCCGATAAACACTTTCATCTCCGTATTTCGATATCTTCAATTTGGAACGTGCATCTAGATACTTTGTATTTCTCGATCGTCTCTTCGCTCGTTCCTTCTCGAGTGTTCAAGGAACAAAAAAAAAACGTGCGCTTCGTGGACGTAAAATTGTTCGCCAACGTCGTCCGACTCTTCCTGTCGTCAGCGTTTCGTTCTTCTCGTGTCTATCATGCCTTCAAAATTTCTTCTCTCATGTCTTTTTCTTCGGATGTCAGCAAGACATTTGGTCGAATGACTCTTTTCTCGCGCATCTCAATCGCTCGTCCTTCTTTTTATCAAGTGTACGACTCGTCTTTGCAAAAATGTCTTCATGTTCTCGATGTTCTTTCGGACATCCTCTCGAATCTTGAACATTAACGAGTCGATACTTCGTGAGACATATCTTTTTTCGAACAACTGAGTGATAAACTCTCTCTCTCTCTCTCTCTCTCTCTCTTAGCTTTCTTAAATTACAATTTTTTAGAATATATATTTGATTTATTGTTATAACGGAAATGACTATTGTTGATGTAATCTCTCATCGTTGAAATCGTAATAGTTGAACAATGAAATAAATTTAAACAACGTAGACATTGTAGACAGACAGTTTTTAGCACTTTTAATGAAAATGACATTCCAGGATGTATGAGAAACGCAAATAAACTGAAACTTTTACTATTACTTATTTAAACTATGTGCCCTAGTTTTTAAATGAACCACGTTCTCTCTTATTTGTGTAACATCTTTATTGCGAGAAGTACACATGAAGCTTTCACTTTTTGTCGATTATGTGCACATGTAATACTTGATTAGTATACAAGCTTGAAAAAAACTGTCTTCTCGAAGCCACGAGATTTTTACATGAACGTGATTTTGGTTTATACGACCTGAGCGCTAATGAAACATGTGTTTGATAATTTATTTGTATTGTTATAAATATACTTAAAAAATGAGATACTCGTGTTTCTCGTGGACAGGTACTGATCGATGGTAAGTGCGACCGATTTACTAGCAACTAAAAAAAAAAGATTGATTGCGAGATGAAACAGAAGTTGCAGAGTGGAGATCCGTCCTCACCAGTCTTATCTCCCTCGGCGTTTGACGATTTCATTAATCTTTGTCAGTCATTTCTGATAGCCGAGTGAAAAATGATAACCAAGAATTTATTGGGAAATGAGACGAAAACTTAATTCGCAAGAAATTTGACTAAATAAGTCAAATATATCCTTATTTGCCTATTAATTTAGTTGCGTTGGTAAAGCTCGCCTTACGAAACATATTATAAACAAAATGTGTTTTAAAAATATTTAGATTACAATCTGATTAAAAAATTCTCGTATAATTCTCGGACTTATCCCATAAACGCTTGATTTTACTTCTAGACGAATAATGTAATCTGCAAATATTCGGAAATGTTGTAAGCACACCGTAACACTATTATGAATCTATCGTTGCGTTTTCTTATTTATTACTCCGCCTCACAATCTTTTTTTATATACTAAATTTTGATTACTTTTATTGATAAGGAGCCGAAGTGAGCCGAAACATTTGATTTATTAATTTATATAATATTATATATGTATTAACATCGTTTATTAAAACAATATACAATTATTACGCTCTAAGTACCACGTCTAGGTTTATAGTTAGTCGTATACGCAACAATCACGAAACACTTTGCACGGCACTCCCATTTGCGGATTATAATCACAAGATATACATTTTATTATGTCATAAAAGAGCAACACGGTATACGCGCTTCGATGAAAATTTATCATAGTGATATAATTTTATCTTATTTTTAAGTTAATTAATCGTCTTATTTTTAAAAGATAATTAATTGTTAATTACAATGATCATAGCGAATTATGTTTCCATATTTGTCGCGATAATTAAGAAAAAAATTCGACAATATATAAAGAATTTCGAACCACTACTTTACTGCTCGAGAGTCGGTGTGTGAATAATAACAAGACTGTAAAATGTAAATAATAGAGACGGCTATACGCCACCAAGGCCGAATACATTTGTTATTATACATATGTTAACAAGATCATGTTATTGTGATAATTCGCTGCCAAAATATTTTACATATTATAACATATATATATGTTAATAATTAAAACTTTTTTGAATTTGAAAGCGCACGGTTAAAACTATAAGAAAACATAATAATATATAATAGAAATATAATTGAATTTATTTTAATAATAATTATAATAGAATAGACCTCACGTTTTGGAAATCACAATTTTTGTGTCGTACAAAGATATATCCAAGTATTGGGAGAGGTAGATTTTTTCTCATGTCCGGTTTTCTATTTAGAATTTTGGATAGTGCTCCACGAAATAGAAACGAAACACATAGAAAATAAATGGCGCGCGCTTATATTGTTCTAATAAACTTAATAAAAAAGAGAACATAAGTAAAAAATAGAATTGTGTATAATTATATATGTAAAATATATAAGTTTACAGAGATAACTGTATGCTATAAATAATAAGTACCAATTGTGTTTAAATAATTAAATAATGATTTTTCTCTTATTAATTAAATATTTTTATATACTAAATCTCTATTTATTTTTAAGTATAATAAAAATAAATTATTATATAATAATGTCTTCATTTAACATATAAGTATTACATTAATTAACACAAATCTAAATAAATAGTACCTTAAGTTAGAATTAAATTATTATATCAAACACAATTAACAACGAGTATATTAAAGACGACGCGTATAGATGTTCGCAGGTATTGTTCATCAGCTACTCAGACAATCGGGAAGGAAGATTGGGAAGGATTTCAGAGCAGAACAAGATCGTACCTAACTCCTCTGTGTAACGTAGTTCCTGTCAAAACAGGAGGCCATCAATTACAGTTCTTACACGTGCACCCTCTTTCGCCCTTCCGTAGATTGTCGTTGTCGTGACACGTCTCTGTCATTTTCACCGATACTGCCGCTGTCATTTGAACGCCCTTCGACGATTATATCTCGCTGAGCAGCTAATCCAGAAATCGATAATTACGCGCGGCGCCCTGAAACATACCAAATTAATACGGCTATTACGAATAAATAGTCAAATCGATAGATCGTTATAACAATAATTGGATTTTGGCAATGATATTTGCTCGTCGCTAAAGTATATAATAAACATATCATAAAAGTTATTTGTTATAAAAGTTATAAAAATTTAGTTATGAAAATTCGTTTATACAGGGTGCGGCATTTATAGTGACGCGGGCATATTTTTCGGAAACGAAGTGAGATATCAAAAAATGTTTATAATATATAATTATTATATTATATATAAATATATAATTGTCACAAAATTTATTATTTAATATGTTATTTATTATTTAAATAATATAATTTCTTTGCATCGAAACAAAGATTCATTTCTTTTGCTTCGCTCTGTTCATCATAACTTTTCTTATTACAAATTATTTCATAGGATTGCCGGAAACTTGATGACAGAGAAAACCGTCGAAATAAACCAAAATTTATACTCCATATCTAAAGTCTGCTGCACTATTAACGCATTCGCGATAAATCTCCAGTAGTAAAATGAGATATTCACAGGTCCGCATTATCGTCACGTTCAAAGGACTTTCCGGGCGAGTCAGTTTCCGGAAAAAGGACTCGACATTAGTCGATCTGAACGGACGGTCGGCCGCGCAACCCGCAGGAATATCCAGCTCGTGCCCCGAGGAAATTGCATTCGCGAGTTGGTCTTTCACCAACCTCATTTCCTCTTTCCCCTTCGTCCCACCATGGCAGTCACTCGCGTGATAAAGAGAATAGAAAAGGGTTGCTAGAGAAGTGAATTAAATTTAAGCCAACTCGCATTCTATATCCAACTATCCCCTCTCCACCTCCTCTTTCCTCGTCCCTGACACCATCCCTTCTTTCACAATCCTCTCGCACTTTGTGTCGGGCTTCTCTTTGTCATTTCATCCTCTTTATAGCCGAGCTGGTGCAACCGACCAGTCGAGACGACAGCAATGGCCCTCTTTTTAATTTTGAGATAAAAGAGGGCAAAACTGCCATTCGAGGAAAGCTGGGCGGAGGAGACAACGGAGGGTCAATCAAGTCGGTTAGATATAAGTCCCGTTGGAAAGAAAGAATATCATCTCCGAAAAAAACAGATTCGATCTCTTGACTTTAGTGTGGCCAAACGGACAAGAAGCTGCCGGGTCTTTCGTCAGGTATATAATAATCACCTTCACGCTAGAAAATGATCTCCAAGAACCTATCTTAAATACCGCAAGGTACTTAAATTTTACCTGACTTGACTGCCGGCTCGGTCTCGGAAGATAATGACTCACGATGCTTTTATTTCAACGAAGCAATCAGA